TTTGTGTACATTTCCTGTCTGCTTTCTAGTTCGTAGCATTTTTTTAGCTGGTGCTGAAGGAATTGGTGGCTGAGTTAGGCAGGCAAAGCGTTTCAGTACTTACAAACACGATGCTGAGAGAAACATCCAGTTGCTCTGTCAAACACCCGTCTCCGTAGTGCCTGTGTGCCGTTGCCACCGCCCACGTGCAGGGCTGGTAGGCACAGAGGCACGAAGAAAACATGGTTATGAGTTTGAATCCAGTTCAAAACGTGAGTTTGAAAGCAGAGATGTACCTAACCCCAAACACAGCCTGAAGGAATTGGAGAAAATGAATCGTAGAATCGTTTAGGTTGGAAAAGGCCTTTAAGATAGTAAGTGTATTCACCTGGTTTTTAACCCTCTGAGTGCCTGTAGCGTTACTTGCACCAAGAAGTGGATCGCAGCGGTGCTGCTGAGAATTGCCTGTATTTGGGGCATTGAAGTCTGCGTGTTCCTGTGAAACCTGCACTGACTACGGGTGTTGGGGTCAGCAGATTCCGTTTTGTTTTGCAGGATGCAATCAGGATGATGATTACTCAAGGCAACATGCAGCTTCAGGAACTTCAGAGAACGCTTAGGCTGGCAAAATCCTGACGTTAATTTTGTTGACAGCTGGGAACGTCCATCCTCTGGGAACAAACACGCTGGTTTTCCCAGGATGTGGTTACAACAGCGGCCTTTGCTGACGACCTGGTCGTGTTCGAAGGTGGAATCTACCGCGGTGGGGTGTTTGGTTTGGTTCTTCCCCCCTTTCCTCTTCTCCGTTTGGTTACGCTCCCGCGTGGATGCAACGGGCTTCAAAGAACTGAGGGGATGATGTAGCGTGTGCCGTGGGAGAAGCAGAAAGCACCCAAAATGACAACGCTAGCGTTTCGCTGGGGAGGAGGGAAATAAACACAAGGCACGTTATCTTGTCCGTTTCCTGTTGTGGCAGCTCCTAAGTGGTAACATGCAGAGTGGTAACAGCTCGCTCTCTACTCTGCCAAGGGTTCTTAATGACGTTTGGGGTTAAAAAAGCATTTTGGGTTATTTGGGATAAATAAATGGCCAAAACCCAACAAACATGATAAACCATTCAGAAAACATTTTGCATGTAGATGTTGATTTTTGGTTATAGCTGAGCAAAATATAAAAGGGGCAGTTTTTATATGTGAAAATGAGAAGGTTTAGCCCCTGAAATGGTTCTTCCCAAGCTAATGGGAAGTACCTTCAAGTTACCATTTACAAGTAGAATTACGTACAGGAAACAGTAACTGTGAATGTTGTGGTCTGTTTCTCCAAACATCCTATTACTCCCCTTTTAATTGTCAGCTTGCAACTGTTCTCCCCTTCCCGTGCATGGCAGTGTATCCTTGTTTTTATGTGTGATTTGAAAATGCCACGCCAAGCCTGGGATTTTCTCAGCAGACAACTCAGGATGGATACTGGACTGTACAGTGCCTGCGTGCAGCTCGGGTTGTGGGTCCAAGAGCTGCAGGAACCCTTCCTGCACAAGGGCCTGTAGTAACAGGACAAGGGGTTACGGGTTTAAATGGAAAGTGGGGAGGTTTATAATGGACATCAGGAAGAAATTCTTCCCAGAGAGGGTGGTGAGGCACTGGAACAGGTTGCCCAGAGAAGCTGTGGATGCCCCATCCCTGGAAGTGTTCAAGGCCAGGCTGGACGAGGCTTTGAGCAACCTGGCCTAGTGGAAGGGGTCCCTGCCCATGGCAGGGGGGTTGGAACTGGATGATCGTTAAGGTCCCTTCCAACTCAAACCATTCTGTGATTCCCACTCCACTACAAGAGCTGGCATTGGGAGCCAGTTCCCCTTGCACGCAGGCTTTCTGATGAGTTTGGAAGCTGGGTGGCCTCTCCAGGGGTCTGGCGAGTGGCAGAAAGCAAGGGACAGTATGGTTTTCCCACTCCAGGTGACAGGAGCAAAGACAGACCCCACGTGGGAGCAGGGCATATGCTTCTTGCTGGAGCCAAAGGGTCTTCAAAGCTGCCTACTTCAGCAGAGCTGCTTTGCAAGAAGCTGCTGCTTAGCTTGGGGAGGGGGGAGAGGGTGTCCTAATTCCTAATCCAGGAGTCACAGTAGAATCCTTTCCACTGAGGTTTATTTGACTTCACAGTAGAGGCTGTGGCTCAGGCAGGCAGTGAGGCTGCTGAAGAGTTCAGGGTTGTACAGACCGACCGACCCCTTTGAGCTTCTGATGGGTCAGTGAAAAATACATGTGTTTAAATACCGTGTGAAAAAGCTAAACGTTGTTAATTGTTAGAATGCATCCACAGAACGGTGGTGGGTCTGGGATCGATTTTTCACGTGATCAGAAAATGCTGTTGAGAAAGGAATTTTGGCTAAACGAAGCCGTAATGCATGTCAGCTTGTTCTTACACGTAGCCCTTCCCTTCCGCTGCTGGTTTGATTCCTGGTCCTCTGCTCTGTGGGCTTGTCAAGGTGAATGTGCCTGGCGGGAGCCTTCAGGAGTCGAGCACAGGCTGCTGGGGCGAGTACGCTCACCCCAAGCGCGTGCTGCAGAGAAAGGCAGCTAATACAGGCGTTTGGTAAAGATATCCCTCCACTCCAGTAGTTCTGATGACGAAGGGAGGAGTACAGCAGGGAGTAGAAAGGAATTTGCAGCAAGTGCCTCCCTTTGTTTTACAGCGCACTTGTTGGCTTCAGAAAACCTCCACAGTCAGCGCTCTGAAGCCAAGTTACTGCCTTGCATTATCGTTTCCTTAGTTACTGTCTTAAATCACTGCTCCGACGGCTGCCTTGGTGCTGGAGTTTGTATGGGAAGCAAATTAGCTAAAGCCAGAGCCTTGCCTTTCCCCTTAAGCTTGTGGGAGCTCAGGAGAGCATGTGCAATCAGTGACACAACTCTGCCCCCTGCCAGTAACTTCACAGAACCACAGAACAGTTTGGGTTGGAAGGGACCTTAAAGCCCATCCAGTTCCACCCCCCCTGCCATGGGCAGGGACACCTTCCACTAGACCAGGTTGCTCAAAGCCTCATCCAGCCTGGCCTTGAACACTTCCAGGGATGGGGCATCCACAGCTTCTCTGGGCAACCTGTTCCAGTGCCTCACCGCCCTCTCCGGGAAGAACTTCCAAAACGGTGGGTGCGTGCCTCAGCTAACAGTGGCATTCAGTCCCTGCGGCTTCCCCTGGGACAGGCAGTAGACCCCGTTTCCATGTTCTATAGCCACAAACAGAAAAGCTTTAGAATTCAAAAGTTCGATTTTTCTGCTTCCCCTTCGGCGTCAGTTTTCTCTGGCTAGAAAGCATCACACCACAGACTTCTGAGCAACACTGACTTTAATTGCTTGGCAAAACGTCCGCTTTATCAAGATGATACAAAAGTTAAATAGCATGCTTCTGCATTCCTACAGTAGCTTAAACAAACCCGTGAATGTATGGAAGTGTCTACACTAGACTACAGCGGTCAGAACGCCAAAACCAGTATTTCCGTAACTGCGGATATGCGTGTCTTGATAGTGCATTAATAGGAACTTTAAAAATATCATCATATAATACAATTTTCTTTGCTTTATACCTCTGCTAAGACAATGAAAGCTCAGTTACTCGTTAGTCCATGGGGTCTTCAGTACTGTGAAGGATTTGGTATTGATTTTAGGGCTCCTCAGTACAGGAAAAACCCAAATCTCCTTGTTGTAACAGTACTGTTTGAATTGGTTTTGAACAACTACTCTACCACCGTGTGTTAAGTAAACTTACTTTGCTAACAGCCTCTGCTGAGCCTTCTTAGAGGGTAAGGAGGGAACCCTAAAGGCACACAGCTGCAAGGAGTTAGAGTGCCTGTAGTTTGTTTGCAGCCTGACAGCCTGGGCGACATTGGTCGTTGTAAGTTTGGATTTTGCAACAAAACAATGTCCAGAAAAGCTTTTAAGATGTCGTCGAGTTCTATTTTGAGGGACTGCTTGGGAAACCATTCCTAAGACTTGCAGATTCACCAGGGCCCAGCCTCTCTTTTTAGAGAGAGAGGAGGGAAAACGGAGAGGAGTCATTCCAAGGAACCAAGGAAGACAGCCTGGACAAGGTGCCCTGGAGAAAATCCAGACTCCGCAGGAAAAGAAACATCTGAGCACAGGGAGCCAAGCTTTCACCTCTTTATTGAAAGGACTTTTTCAAGCTTCTTCAGTAGTAAAGAACGCAGCCGTTCGCTGCTTGGAGGAAAAGAGACTTATATAAGAACTCTAGCTAACAGGAAGGGCATGGTTATGGGAAAATACCTGCCATCCGTGCCCTGAACTAAACTTCCCCGTCAGGTTACTCAGGTACGGCCCCAGCAAACAACCTTGTGAGCACAAGGAGCTTTGCAACCAGGACACCGTTAGCAAAAAAAAGCCAAATCTAATTTAGGATTGGTTTTAATAGTGTGAAACCAAAAGAAAAGCGAAGTGCCAGCCGCAGCTGCTGTACCTAGTGGGATGACTCTCCTTAGCCTCTCGCCCCAGGGTGTAATTTCAGTGGGTTCTGTAGGTTCTCTCCACAGGCGAGAGAGAGAAGCTGTGGAGAGTATTTAGAACAGTATCAGTAGCCCTTCGTTGCTAAGGAATTTCTGTCAAAGGCTGTAAACATCCTGGATTCATCTCAGTATTGGTATCGCCACGTGTTTTACGTGTAGCATACAGTGGAACCCTCCGGTCATGTGTGGCTAATGTGGAAATCGGGAAATTCCCTTTGCAGAAAGCAATTTTGGTTCCTAATGCAGTTTCTTTTCAAGCAGCACCTGGAAACGGAGAGTGCAATATTTAATGGCCTCTTAGAAATACCAAAGAAAGGATCTAATCTGCAGCATCTCGTTGTCAGCAGTACAGTCTGCACATGGATTCTGCTCGGTTCTGGAGTTTCCAAACTCCTGCAAAAGAGCATTTTGTTTGGACGTAACAGGCACTACGAATGTATACATTTAACAGTATTCCAGGTTCCTGTACAGCAGGTTCCAAAATGAGTCCCGGTCTCCTGGCTAGACGCTAGCTCTCTTTCTGCACCTTAGTCCTTAATTTGCTGAGCTCCTCTTCTAAGCTTCTAATGTGTTCCTTGAGGGCAGCTTTGTCTTGCTGCGCCTTCTGATTAGCTTGGCTCCGGGCTTCTTCTATCTTCCGTTCGTACCACTTCTCCATCTGCGTGGAAACAGCCTCGAAGAAGTACTGCGTGATCTCCAGGGCCTGGGAGGTGTCTCTGAGCGGAGGGGTGGGCGGCTGTCCCGCGGGCAGGGCCGGGGGCTGCTGCTCCTGGCTCTGGGGTGCCCCGGCGTGGTGCAGAGCTTTGTGCCTCGACTGCCCGCTTTTGCTGGGCTTCTTCGTCTGGGTTCCTTTGTCAAGGAAGTAGCCGCTCTGTGGTTCAGTCTTTGGGGGTTCAGTCGAGGGCTGCAAGGCCACTTGAACCTTAACATGTCTTAGTTTGGACCCCGAAAGCTCGGAGGAGGGCAGCTCCTGCTGGGACCTGTGGCACGCGCTGGCAGTAGCAGCTTTGTCCTTTGGCCTGACATCTTGAGCAGGGGCAGAAGCAGCTGGGCCGCCAGCAGTTAACTGCTGCTCTGTACCTACAGAACAAAACACATGCATACGCATTTAGGAAAGCACTGGGCATCTATTTTAGCATGCAGAAATCCTCCCTGTTCCGTGATTGATGAGGTTTCCCGTGTACCGTGTGTATGTTGTAGAGGCTTGTATTGGTTTCTCACATCTGTGATCTGATAAAGAGTCATTAAAAGGGAAAAGCCGGCTCAGGCAGAGGCACTGCGGCCGTGGGATCACAGACTGACAGCAAGCAAAGGCCCTCACCAGGAGGAGTCTAGCAACGATCAGGCTACATTCCCAGTTTATGTCTGCTGATGGTTATCACTCCCTGCTTCTAGAACTGAAGGCCCGCTGATTTTGCAAAGGTAACACATTTTGATGGGTCTGTACCATTTGATGCAGTACAGCTCAGGACCTCCTGGGTGGTCTCCTCCTTTTCTAGTCTGATGGGGTATCCATCTCCATTCCTGTTCGCTTTGCAGAGCGTTTTGGGGGCATAGACAATGTATTTTACAGAAGCCCAGGCCTTCGGTTAGCGCTCACTGTGGCTGTGGAGACCTGGGCATTCTGCCCATTTCCCTTTCCCTCAAAAGCTTCCCTGGCCAAGCACAGGAATTGCCTTGAACCAAGGTCTTCCATGGCTTTGGGTGGCCATGATCCCCTAATGGGCTTCCATGTTCTCTGCTGCTTTTGTTCTGGTCAAATACACTAATAATGAAGGAGAATTTGGTTCAAGGAAAGAGGAATTAAAAAAATGGAGAGGTTTGATCTGTATCCTTGCAGTTTGAATATTAATGACGGAAATGAGTATTTTGGGTTCAGAGCCTTGCACCCTGCCATTACAGGTTCCATACATCTGAAAAGCACTAAATACACCTTCTTCAGTAGACTGGATAATCTGCACAGTGGGAGGGAGCAATTCTGCCTGGGAAGCTGGAGAAACTTCAGAAAACACTCAGAGCATCAAAGGACTGGGCTTCAAAGGGACAGTGACATGGAAGCATCAGGAGAAGCCACTGGAATTCCACCCAACCATGTCTTGCAGTATTCCCAGCGGCTGCCGTGAAGCGTATTCTAATCCCAAGACACTATGCATATGGATGGGGGAAAGCACGCAGCCAGAATTAATACCTGTGGTATTAATCCAAGCATCCCTCCGTTAATGAGCTCGCCTTTGAATGAATGTGACGCCTAAGTACCTGACGCACCATCGTGCTGAACGCAAAAATGTTGCCCGAAGCTCTGCTCTGGCATCCGGCCTCTGCTCCTTCCCCCGTCTTCCGAGAGGCTGTTGGGGAGCGCGATATAGGAATGCTGGTGGGAGCCCTCTGACGGCAACACGGGCTGGTTGGCTTTACAGTCCTTGGCACTGTGGGGGTTGTTGTCAGTATCCAGGGTCTCGGTGAGAGATTCGCATGTGGACAGAGTGGATTTTGGTCTCGATGACCTGGAATCTCCAGAAAGCTTGAGCTCCAGATTCTGAATCTTCAACATGCACCAAGTCTTCAGCTCATCGACCAAGGAAATCTGTGAGAAAGAGGCTGTAAATTAGATGATCCTGTGCTTAGATCATCCGGTTTCTGGGCCACTGAGGACATGTGGCAGGGACAAAGGGAAGCAAGCCTGGTACCTGTGGGTTTAGACTCCCTGTGCAGGTATGCAGGCTGCCACTGGGAATATGTAAAGGGCTGCCAGTCAGAACAGATGCAGAGCTCTGCGTTAACTACCGAAAGGGACCATCTTTAGTCCGAGCTACCACCTCTTAGATTGGAATGTGCTCCTCCAGGTGCAACCCATGTCCCTTGGTCAAGGCTGGCCTGTTTAGTCATACAGTCAGGGGTACTTGCTAAGTGCAGGGAACATCACATGTGGCCAAAGCTGCCATTTCTAGGAGTGAAATTCAAATTAGACCCTGCTGGGACACAGCTTTATACTGTGAGCAACCTCTGCTCGCTCGGTGATAAAAGACGAGTCCAGCGCTAAAGGATAAATTACTAACAGCTTGTAAATTACAAAGGTGCTTACTAAGTGTCAGCTGCGGAGGCATTGGCCAGAAATCATTCAAAATACGAGTAACTCTTTCAACCTTCTGTTCCTATGACGTCAGGAATTCAGGTCAGGCCCTCCCGTTCACACAAGACAGGCTGTTTGGGACTAAATGGGGCTAGTTTTGGGAAAGCCCAACTCTGCTTTCCCAGTAGTTTCAATTAGGCACGACAGAACAGGAGCAGCCAATACCGCTGCGTGGGAATTTCGGTTCACCCGATGCAGCACTCCAGTATCCCATTTCTTAACTGGAGATTACGAGGAGCTGGAGCACAAGCCCAGGCATTCAGAAGCAAATATAATACTCCTGTCTCTGGCTATGAAGTAAAAACTAATGCTGCCTTACAGCAAGTACTTGTCTTTGGAGAACAGTGTTTTGCGGCTGTTAGACCGAGGTATCTTGATCGGTGGTTTATGCTGGGGCTATCACAGCTGCCAGCCTTTGATCACGGATTTGGAACTGTCTTAGAAAAAGCCACGACCTTTCACTAGCACCAAGTGTATTTCTCAATTCTTAGAAGGATTTAGGAGTGTTCAACTGAATCCAGTAGGATTCAGGACTGAGAAAACGAACTGCGTATTACGTTTACCTATGGGAGGAGAGAAACAGGAGCGTCTTGGCATGTTTTAGCGGTGAGTTTGTGCAGAAGCCAGAGGGGCAAGAGCTGGAAGAGCTGGATGTCAATGGGAACAGTTAAGCTTGCGATCCTGGCTGAGCAAGCACAAAGAAAGAACTTGCCCGCTGGCAGTAATGCACAGCTTGGAGAGGGCATACCGCTGCCGGTCAGAGGGAAGAACTGCAGCCTTGTAATAGGCCAGGGAAAAATAAACATCAGACAGAGAAGGGAGAGATTCCCAGGCTGCACAACCAAATGGATGAGACGGAAAAGGAACACGACAGATCGGAAGCCTTTGTTCCTGGTGGCAGAGGTTCCTGCAGATGTGATTTAACCAGGCAAAAGCTGAAAGCGCAGCTGTTAAAAACACAGTGGTGGGAGTTCTTGCAAAGAATATGTTAGAAAAAAGGTTCTTTGTGATGGATCCCACCCTTCAGACCCACCACACTGAATTACGGCAGCGGGACTGGATTTCACATTCCCCACTTGTAATGCAAAAGCTTTTGGTTTAGAGATTAAGGTGGTGGACAGGAATAATTTGTTCTTTAAGTTCCTTTCCCTGTTTCAGCAGATGAGAGCAATCTCCAACGTTCTCTCTGCCTGCTGAAACGAAACTCCTGAGCCGATCCCTCCGAGCACACAGGGAGTAGCGGTTTCGAGCCCTACCTGCCGTTTCTCCCCCTCGGTTTTTTCCAGCTCAGTGTGCTGCTGCAGGCGGTGAAGGCACTCTGTTCTCTCCGCAGACAGCCGCTCCGCCATGAGTTTGTCTAAAACACGGAGCTGTGGAGAACAACACAGTTTAGCTGAGATGATGATGTTGAAGACCAAACCAAACCCCCAGCTGTGAACCCTGTCAGTCAATGTGCAGTCCGTCTTTCAGTCCTCAAGGAATGCTGCCAACTACCATTAGTGTAGCTTGCAAAAAGGTTCAGTCACAAATTATCACAGAATCACAGAACGGTTTGGGTTGGAAGGGACCTTAAAGCCCATCCAGTTCCACCCCCCCTGCCATGGGCAGGGACACCTTCCACTAGACCAGGTTGCTCAAAGCCTCATCCAGCCTGGCCTTGAACACTTCCAGGGATGGGGCATCCACAGCTTCTCTGGGCAACCTGTGCCCGTGCCTCACCACCCTCTCCAGGAAGAACTTCTTCCTGATATCCACTCTAAACCTCCCCACTTTCAGTTTAAACCCATTCCCCCTTGTCCTGTCACTACAGGCCCTTGTAAAAAGTCCCCCCCAGCTTCCTTGTAGCCCCTTCAGGTACTGGAAGGTGCAATAAGGGCTCCCCGGAGCCTTCTCTTCTCCAGGCTGAGCAATGAATAACAATTATATTAAAAATAAAAAATTACATAGAGGATCTTGGATCTTGGTACAGACAGAACTCAGGAAGAGGGATCTGTGCAGTTATGAACCGACCAGCTGCAGGGCTGCCATCTGTACGTTTCCCTTTTCGGGCCTCAAGCAGTTTGTTTATTCTCTAAAACAGCACCGGAAGCCACTTAACACATTAAATGTGTTTTTCTCAAGACCTTGGTGTGCAAGATGAGATCCCTGTGGAATGTCACAGTTCCCTGGTCTTGAGTATTAGCTTTCAGCTTTGTTTTTACAACACAAGAAGCAATAAATGAATCACGACAATTAAAATACTCCGTAAGCTTAGGCTACGTTTCTAACAGCCCTGTGGGCAAGCAGACCTCCAGGTCACATTCTTACTTGATGCTGAGTTTTGCTTTCCATCTGGCCCAGCTTAATATTCATCTTATCTTGTACTGTCCCAAACTCAGCTTTTATCTCTTCCACCGTTGCCTCCAGCTGATTCTCCAGTTTATTTATCAGGGGCTCACAGCGACATCCATTGATCGGTGCCTGAAAGGAGGAATGCGTTTACTTGCTACATCCCACCACCCTCGTAGCGCACGTGGAACATCATCACAGCCTCCTTGAGTCAGTCTGGGACTCACCTCTACCACGTTCTGCACCTCACCCCTCCAAGGACATCTCACAGTAGCTCAGCCAGCAGGCTACTGGCCGGAAAAGCACCGGCTAGAAGAGGACTGATGGGATTTATGGGCACACCCCAGCGCACGGCCGCGTCGATGCGGCTGGGGCTGCAAGCAGCGGCGAGCTCAGATGGCGTATGCCACGGTCCTGTGCGCTGTGTGAGGGGGCACCACACTACAGGCCGACAGCCTGTGTCTCGCTGCTGTAATTCTGCACCGTACAAAGTAATGGGGCTTTCCGGGTGCGTGTGGGTTTGTGTGCGTTTGGTTGTTAACCTAATGCCAACAACGTGCTCTTCTGGGGGTTTTTTGGTGCTGTATGGCGAGGTCTCGCTGCTCCTGCCTGCCTGCACCCTGCCGGCATTCGGCTGAGCACGCCTTCCCCCGGCCTGCGTGACACCCTCCCAAGGCTCCTCCGCCAAGGGAGCGGCGCTCCAAGTAAATCCCTCGGGAGACAGTCGCAAAAGGCTCCCTTAAGGCAGGACAGCTAACCCTCATCTCCGCAGGCCGAAACCGGCTCCTTGGGGGGAAGCCCAGAGCAGCTGCTCTGAATCTGTCAGCACAGGAGCCTCCCTCCCCTTTGGGCCGGCGAGACTGTCACACGCTGGGGGTTGTTCCCTTGGCAGGGGAGGGCGGGTGGTTTGCTGAGCACTGAAGGAAACTTCAGAAACGCATCTACTTAAGAAATTCTGTTTGCAGTTCAGAGCCTGAGGGCATCAAAGAAGACAAACAGCAAAAAAGAAGGGGAGAGGAGTGTCATGTGTTTCAGGGAATACCGCAAGGGAGTCTAGCTCTATTAAGCTAATCTTTGTGAGCAGATAAGATCCGTATACAAATCTGCTCTCTGCACCTTTCTTCCTGCTCCCCAAGTCCTTCCTACTGCCCACCCTCCTATCCCAGGGGCAGGGAGATAACTCCTTTTAACACATGAAACGTCCTCCCATCCTTCCTGATGTCTGCTATTCCAACAATCCCATCTGGAAATCTCACAGGCGTCACACAGGGACATGTTGGAAAACACAGCCAGTGAAAGCTCTGAAAGTCTGACCTGAGCAACCTTCAGAATCTGCTGAATTCCTTAACTACGGCCAGGGCCGGAGGAGGGCTGGTGGACGGACGCAGGGAAATCAGAAGATTTGCCTCCCAGAGGCCCAGGAGGGCTGTGTTAAGAAGGCAACAATACTGATGTGTACGAGGTCTGCAGGGTAATTTGCTGCCTGTTTCCATGCTTTTGTGTCCTGGTACGTACAAGATCCGTCTCTAAAGAGGAATGAACGCCCATGAGCTGGTCACTCCAGGGTTGGGTGTGAATCGATTTCTGTACAGCTCCCGCCTCCAGCATTCCTAGAGCCCCCAGAGCCCTGCTGCAGGGAACAGAACTGAAGCGGGTATGGAGCGCGCTCCAGCTCTCGGGTTAGGCAGTAACATTCCGTGCTCACACACTGCTCTCATCTCTTTTCCTTGGAAAAGCTCTGCACGTTTCCCGTCGGAAATCTTAACGTTTCCGAGCGTATCACAGAATTCCCAGTGTTCCAATCGCTGCTCACACCTTACCTCCAAAAAGGAAGTACTTTGTAGATCACAACTAGTCCGACACGTCACCTTTACAACGCACAAACCCCGCTGCCTCTGTACCGGGATTCAGGCCAAAACGCCTCGGAAGCCCATGCAAGGAAAACAAACCCACAGCCTTGCTTTCGTGCCCAAGAATGCACCCAATCCAGCGTATTTTCTACCCGTTAGCTAGCTGTGCCCCAGAGCTCCCACCGCTGCTCCTTGCGTCTCTTCCCGGAGGGCAGCGGCCGGCTCACCTGCATCACCTTCCCATCCTTTCCTCGGTAGAGTGTGTACAGCTGGTAGGCCCGGACCTCGTGGGGAGGGGGCGGAGAGGAGCAGTGGTGTCTACTTCGGCGCTTGGGCACGTTCTGCTGGGGCCGAGGGAGCGTCTGCTGATCCGCTGGGGAGGTGGGGTCCGAGAGGGCCGAAACCTGCGTAAAATACACATGGCGTTTTCCCTGTCTATGAGCCTCCCGGAAAACCATTCCTGGTGGGAATGACACAAATCCATTGTGATGATTACAGCCCAAACACTGACGAAAACACCGGTCTGGCTGCAGTGGCTGGCCACCACCTTGGTATCCGTCAGCGCAAGAACCAGATTCCCTCACAAACCTGGTCCGCGTGACCCCCGACAGCAGAATTTCCCCCCCCGGCATCGGTTCTGTCTGAAGAAGGCCGCTGCCCCATCGCTGGTTTAAATCTACTGATACCTTTTCCTTTGGCTTCTTCTTTTTGCTCTTCTTCCCTCTGGGATCTGGTGAGGTTGACCGAGGTTCCTCCTTCGGATCGCCCTTCCTCTGCGGTGGCTGGTCGCTGCTCGGTGTGTCGTCAGCAGCTGAGACGCTGCCCTGCTCGAAGCGGAGAGAGGGAGTTCAGAGCAGTTGCGGGAGGGGGGAAAAGGTGCCTTTTCTTCAACAGCCCAGCTTTAGGCTGCTCTGCCCACAGGAGTGGGGAACGCTCCTGCAGCAAAGCACGGCAGACTGCCTGCGACAGCTCCAAACGGATTCAGTCCTGCCGGGTTTTATTGACACTCCCTCCTTGCAGCAGATGCAGCTGGTAAGGCCGGGCTGTACCTTGCTCTGTACCACTTCATCCCGTGGTACCGACTGAGCTCGCCTCTCCTCCTTCAGCCTCTCCCTCTTCTTCCTCAGGCTTCTTCCGCGGTTAAAGCGCGAGACCTGAAGGCAGACCACACTGTTACGCAACAATGTCACGCTCGTTCCCACCACGGGAGCCAAGGGATAGGGCAGGCCTTTTCCACCTCTGCTGAAAGGCAACCCATAATGAAGCGCACGGCTGGATGGATGGATGCGGATGGGCCGAGCAGTGCGGGTGCTCGTAGGCCAGTGGTGGCCTGTTTTCACAGCTAAGTCAACCGGGGCACTTGGTTGTCCCCTAGAGGGGTAAGAGCCTCCTTCTGTGTCCTCCCATGTCCCTGGGGCTGGTCTCCGAGCCAAGCCCTTCTCACACAGAGGTGACGCGGAGGAGCGGGGCAGGGATCGCACCGGTCTCATGCCAGAACACAGAGCCCTTCCTCCCAGCCTGAAGAGCGCTGTAGCATTTCACACACAGCAGCAGAGTATAAACCGGACATCCTGCACCCATTTCAAAGCATCTTCCAGTGCGTGGGAGAACTCCAGGCAGGCCACAGAGGGACACAACCTGTGAGCTTTTGGGTACAGGGGCACCGCAGGGAACAAGCGCCTCTGGCTGCTCCATCCTCTGCCAGTCGGGACAGCCAGGAGCTCTGCCAGCGCTTGATGCTGAGGCTTAATCTGCACACCTTGCTGGGCTTGGGGGCTGAAAGGCTCCACAGCAGCAGACCTGAGGCCAGCACACCATGCCAGCAGGAACGCTGGTGCCTTTCACAGCAGAAGGTTAAGGACCAGGGGACGTGGCCCCGTGAGGTTCACTGGCCGCAGCTCCACACGTATGTGTGCATTGGGACGAGGTTTGTAACGTACCTGTGATGCTTTCGTGAGAAGGAGCGCAACCTCAGGGTTGTTGTGCTGTCTGGCAACTTCTAGAGGGGTCTGACCTGCCTGAGAGGAAAGGGAAAACAGCATTTCCTTCAGAAAACAAGCTGCTGGAAATGTGGAATTTCTCCACTCGAGGTTAACACATGCTCTGTGCACAAGGGCATAGTGACTAACTGCTTTCATTTACCCAGATCTGATTCGACTAACACCCAATGTTTTCTGCAAAGAGTAGAAAAGAGTGTTGAAGCGAGTCTGCACTGAGAGAGAGAGAGTTGGGCTTGTTCAGCCTGGAGAAGAGAAGGCTCCAGGGAGACCTTATAGCACCTTCCAGTACCTGAAGGGGCTACAAGGAAGCTGGGGGGGACTTTTTACAAGGGCCTGTAGTGACAGGACAAGGGGGAACGGGGTTAAATTGAAAGCAGGGAGATTTAGATTGGATATCAGGAAGAAGTTCTTCCTGGAGAGGGTGATGAGGCACTGGAACAGGTTGCCCAGAGAAGCTGTGGATGCCCCATCCCAGGAAGTGTTCAAGGCCAGGCTGGATGAGGCTTTGAGCAACCTGGTCTAGTGGAAGGTGTCCCTGCCCATGGCAGGGGGGTTGGAACTAGATGGACTTTAAGGTCCCTTCCCAACCCAAACCGTTCCGAGATTCTAATACAAAATACCAAAGAAACCCCCGGTTCTACTTACATTGTTGACAACGGATGCGTCAGCCCCCGCCTCCAGCAAGAGCTTAACCACCTTCCTGTGGTTGAGCGCAGCAGCTACATGGAGTGCCGTATCTCCCGCCTGCAAGTCACCAAGCAGAAAAAGCAGCCGTGTAACGCACATCCGTGGGTCTCACCCTGCAGAAATCACACCTTCCTAAAAGATGCTCAGGGGTCAAAAGACCCTACACTTAACTGATGCAAGAACTCAGCTTAAATATGGCCTGGTCAATAAAAAAAGCAGAGCTGGGAGGAAGGGGAGGGGAAGGGGAGAGGAAGGGGAGAGGAAGGGGCCAGGAGCTACTTCAGCTTGATTTTGAAAAATGCCATTGGTGACGGGGTTTAACTACACCGAGTGACACATGACACAGCTTGGGGACAGCCCGTCTGTGCCGCCAGCGAACAGATACGACGTCTGAGGACAGGATCAGGTTTTCCCACCACAACTTTTATCTTTTTGGGGTTTTTGTTTTGCAGGTTTGATTTGCTGCACAGGTGGCCATGTATCACATGACTCCAAAAAAGTCAGGTAAGTACCAGCAGCGGGACAGCTGGTGTTCTCTTCGTGAGATTCCTCAAGAAAAACAGGTTTTGGACCAAAGCCGGGAGGCGATCCGGGCCCAGCACTAAGACGCTGCCCTGGCCTTGTCCCGGTGCAGCGAGGTGGAGACAGCGGTGATCAGGTTCCAGCAGCGGTAACAGAGCCAGCAGCTGGTCAAGGGAGACCGGACACGGGCATATAATGCCCTCCTGTCCCCTCTGCCTTCACCAAACTGGATCTCCTCGAGACTAGTGGAAACCTACTGCTTGTTGGCAACTTGGGTGAGGCACGTTCATAAATTACATCAGTATGCGTGCAGAATCGGAACAACTCGGGGCAGCGCTGGGGAATGCCGGAAGGGGGTATCTCTGTAGGGCAGGTTCACACCAGTTAATCTTAATATGCAGTAGCTCCTTTTGCAAGTTAAAACCAACTCATTTCCAAATAAAATTACACAGCAAATTTAACAGGCTGAAACCCATTTTGTTTGCTGTAACGTAGCTAAGAAAGAAGATAAAACGTACAGATCAGAAAACATCTTTATGATCCTCAAGCACACACGGAAGATTTCCCAGGGACATGAGACGACTTGGTTAAGCACCACATAATCTGTTTGTTTAGGAGATTTAACACACCTGAGTGTACTAAATCCATTCCCTTCTACTACCCAGTTAGGCCATGGCATTGGTACAGCAACCAGTTCTCTCTCAGACAACCAGGGATGATTACTCCTAGGTTGGACTGATCATTGCTTTGAATTTAAAGCACAGGTGAAACGCCTTATGCTGCAAAACCCAGCAAATAGCGGTATGCCAGAGGAATTTGCACTTTTGTGGCATATGATCGTTAGTGAGTTCCGCTCCAGAATGTCAGTGGCCGTAGGATCGTTAAACCCCAGTTACAGAGGAGCACACGGGCCTCTGTAAGATGACTGGAGTCTCTCGCCCAGTCCCGTCCCACACAGAACTGGGAAGGACTCGGCAGCACCAACCCCGCTACCCCTGTCCCAGAGCCCCTTTCTCCACCAACACAGGACTGCACAACCTCCTAAGCAGGCCATGCGTTAAAGAAACGGTGCCAACCTGATGGCAAAAGAACGAACCACTGATACGCCATTACTTTAAGGCTGTTCTTAAAAGCTGGGGCACCGCGTGCTACAGTCAAACACAGAGTGAAGAGGGATTCCTTTGGCTGGGAATCCCCCTTCCCAACAACCAGCCATATGCAAAGGGTCGCAGCGGGGTTCATGCACTGACCTGGTTCTTTTCATGGACAGAACAGAAAGCACTGAGCAGCACCCTAACGATGGGCAAGTGATTATAACGAGCAGCCACATGCAGACAGGTATCTCCTGCCTGCAAACAGAAACAAAGCTCTGAGCGTGTCATCGAGGTGAGAAAGCTTGCGCTTGTCACGGTGCTCGGGGACGGAGCAGTCCTACTCAGCCGAGGAGAGCGGCGAACGCCACACGCCTCCACCGGAGAGCAGCGCCGTCTTCCCCGCGCTACAAAACCTGCTGTCGTGGGCGGGAAGGTTTAGCGAGGGCAGGGGTCGGGCAAGGTGGTGGGGTACGAATTTCGTCACCGCTGGTGGGAAACACTGGAATTGTCAAATGCAGGTTTACTGCACTACAAAACCTGGCATGCGTTTTTAGGTCCAAGCTGTTCTTCCGAACTGCAAACCAGCGTGACCTGGAAACGCAGCTCGGTGTCGCACACAAGGAAGGAAACACAGGAGTGGTGGGAGAGCAGCATCCCCACGAGGGGCGGCACAGACCCAGCTGGGACTGGGAGCTGAGCCACCCCCCCCGGCTTCCCTTTCTGCGTGCCTCTGCCCACCTCGTTACAAAAACACCTGGCTTCCTTTTGTAGATGGGGTTTTTTTCCCCCTTTGCCATGCCAGAAGCATTATAAAAAGGAGGAAAACTGTCTCAGATTGAAGCCACCTTGACTCTACTTCATGTGGCAGCCTGACACATCCTCTACTCTGCTCTGGTGAGACCCCACCTGGAGTGCTGCGTCCAGCTGTGGAGCCCTCAGCATCAGAAGGATATAGACTGGTTGGAGCGAGTCCAGAGGAGGCCACGAAGATGCTCAGAGGGCTGGAGCAGCTCTGCTATGGGGACAGGCTGAGAGAGTTGGGCTTGTTCAGCCTGGAGAAGAGAAGGCTCCGGGGAGACTTTATAGCACCTTCCAATACCTGAAGGGGCTACAAGGAAGCTGGGGGGGACTTTTTACACGGGCCTGTAGTGACAGGACAAGGGGTAACGGGTTTAAATTGAAAGTGGGGAGGTTTAGATTGGATATCAGGAAGAAGTTCTTCCCGGAGAGGGTGGTGAGGCACTGGAACAGGTTGCCCAGAGAAGCTGTGGATGCCCCATCCCTGGAAGTGTTCAAGGCCAGGCTGGATGAGGCTTTGAGCAACCTGGTCTAGTGGAAGGTGTCCCTGCCCATGGCAGGGGGGTTGGAACTGGATGGGCTTTAAGGTCCCTTCCAACCCAAACCGTTCTGTGATTCTGTGATACACCCTCTCTCAGTGAGGGCAGGTCTGAATGCTTTCCCTGCTCTGGCACAAAATCCCTTTAAGAGCTCCATCGCCCTGCAAGGGGTGCCCTTTTGCAGAACTGCACAACAGCATATGGGTCAGGCCATCGGGACCTCAAAAAGCAGCGAAGGACCAGCTGCCTGGTTCTGTGCAACCGCGAAACCCCCTTTGGCTCCTTCCACCCCCGCTCCAGAGGTGGGCACACGTAGTGCATCGCTCCGCCCCAGCAAAAGCATCCCTGCACATGATGTATGCGATGGTTAGTGGGGTTTTTTGATAGCTCTTACAATAAAAACCACAGCTTAAAGCATTTCTGAGCATTTCTACAAGGTAAAGCGACACAGATAAAACAAAGGCACACAAAAATGAACACGTTCCTTTCAAAACTCACATTATTTTTGAGGTCCGCTCGAGATCCTCCAAGTAACAAAACACGAGTACTCTGGGAATGGCTGTTCTGGCACGCCAGGTGAAGAGGTGTGTTACCTGCCTTAGAAAAATATGGGAAAACATAAAAGCCATGTTTAAAAATTGGGCATAAGCGTGAAAACATAAAACCTCACAGGTTCCTCCCAAGGGAAGATCCATCCCGGGGTGGGAAACTGTCGCTGTTATTTTCCTCAACGACATGAGCTGAATGACCCTGGAGACCGAAAATACCCTTTCTGACCTGGAAATTATTTATCTGGGAAACAGTAAAGGTAGAAATTGGGACAGTGTAATGATGTCTGCATTGCTCCAGTCTGTGTGCAGGAAGCAAAGGCTCTAGAAACCATCTGGTTCATGAGTATCAACCAGCACTGTCACGTATTGTACTTAAAGACATACAGTTCTTGTGTTTCGGGTTTCCCCCACGCACACACCCCAAGAAACACGCAGCCGTGGCACGGCACCTCCAACCTCCAGAGAAGCTGGCCCCCCCTGCCGCAGGGTGTTAGGCGGACGAGGGTCGCGACAATTGCTGCCTCCTCAGGATCGTAACACAAACCAGCTCCAACGTCTGGCTGGGTCAGCGGGTGCTCTCACCGGGCACCATGCAGGTTTTAGGCTATGGGGAAGCTTTAACATTCAGAAAGCACGCCAATCGCCAGCCGGGACGAGAAGGGAAAAACGAAAAGGCACCCGAACACCAGAGACTCCTTGGGAAGGTTCCAGAAAGAAGCAAATACGCAGGGCTCACAGACAGAGATCAAAGAGCTCGCTTGTCTTTCTAACACGGTGAAGGGTTTGCTTGGTCTGACAAGTCTTCCTGAGAGCATCTGGCTTTTGCTGACCTGAAAATGTTTGGGGGTTGTGGCTCTTGGGAGCTAGAAATTAAATCAGCTCAGGTCAGAAAGGTTTCCTATGTTTACCAGGCTGCCTGTTAACCTTGATTATGTCCTTTAGTTTGTCCCCTGTGCTTTCGAGACACGGATCAAAGCTTCAGGGTTTGAATTGCAAAAGGCCAGCTCTCAGACGTGATCCTAGGTCTCCAGTTCCACGCTACAGACTCCTTCTAAGCTGTGACAGTTAGGGACATTTTCTTTGTCAGCAAAACTGCGTTTAGGTGTCAGATTTACCCTCTCACCTTTGTCTCTGGTAACATCAAATGTCTTTATCGTTTGCTGTTTGGAAGGTCAGCCCTGCTGGGAATCACAGAATCACAGAACGGTTTGGGTTGGAAGGGACCTTAAAGACCATCCAGTTCCAACCCCCCTGCCACGGGCAGGGACACCTTCCACTAGACCAGGTTGCTCAAAGCCTCATCCAGCCTGGCCTTGAACACTTCCAGGGATGGGGCATCCACAGCTTCTCCGGGCAACCTGTGCCAGTGCCTCACCACCCTCTCCGGGAAGAATTTCTTCCTGATATCTAATCTAAACCTCCCCACTTTCAATTTAAACCCATTCCCCCTTGTCCTGTCACTCCAGGCCCTTGTAAAAAGTCCCCCCCAGCTTCCTTGTAGCCCCTTCAGGTACTGGAAGGTGCTATAAGGTCTCCCCGGAGCCTTCTCTTCTCCAGGCTGAACAAGCCCAACTCTCTCAGCCTGGCCCCATAGCAGAGCTGCTCCAGCCCTCTGAGCATCTTCGTGGCCTCCTCTGGACTCGCTCCAACCGGTCCAACTGTTCAGTTCTCATTTTAGAGACACATGTACCAAAAGATGCTCCAAGACCCCATAAAGCTGTCCCAAAGCTCCCTTGCCTGTAACAAAGGACACGGTGCTAACAGTGGGATCTGACCAGCCCATTGGGTGCAGCCATCCAAATCCCAACTCTGCTCACGCCTTGGGCTGCTACCGCCGTTTCCTACGCTATTCCAGTAACTTCTGCACTGAAGACAAGACTGCCAAAGGTGTTACAACGAGAGTGGAACTAAATCCCCTTGCTCTGTTATTCTTCCCCCTAAACTGCTGTTAAGGTATCAGAAATACCGAAAGGAAGATAATCCAGGTTCATTACCGAATTTTGGGAAGAGCTTCACTCATGCATTAGGAAGAACTTTCTAGCAAAAGACACGCTATTTTTTCCCCTGTGACTTACACTCATTTGGCTGTTTGATTTCTGGAGGGGGGGGGTGGAATATGGAGTTTGAATGCCACGTTCCCACTAGTACATTTTCATTGTACATCACACCATTCACAATAAATCCACTTGATATAAATCAGGAGCACCATGGCGATTTCCACAGGAACTACAGCGTTCCTCAGTCGTAACTAACGCATCGTTCCATGTGCTACTGAGTTCCTCCTGCATCAGCTGTCAACATACGGATTTCCTAGTGCCTGTGGAGGAACCATCCAGGAGTAATAAATGCAAAAAAGAAGGAAAGGGAAAGGGAAAGGGAAAGGGAAAGGGAAAGGGAAAGGGAAAGGGAAAGGGAAAGGGAAAG